CCTTTGCCTCGTCCTCGTCTGTTGTAGCCTGCTTTGTGACCCTGCTGCCGTTGGATGTATTGTCCGAGGTGTCCCCCTAGGACGAGTTCCTCTATGTGATCTCTGAGTGTGCGGCATTCCTTGGTTGTGTGACCATAGTTTCTTTGGTATCGACAATGTTTGGATTTGTCCACGCTACTGGGGTTGTGCCCGGGTGGTGTTAGGGTGATCAGGTCGGTGTTACTGGCTTCCTCTAGTATGTGTACTCGGGTGTTCAAGGGGGTATAGAAGTCGTACTTCTTGCCTTTGTTCAGCCTAGTCTTTTTGAATTGACTGTCGTTGGAGACTCTCATCTTATCTTTGTGGCCGTGGTCTTGCCTCCCTTGTGGTTTCCCACGTACTTGGTCGCGGAACGTTGTGTGCTCTTTCATTTGAATGTACCTGGCAGCTCGGGCACGGAGTTCGTCCATGTCCGGTGGAGGTCGCCGATAAAGGCTATCGATGAAGGGACCCGGCTTGAGTTCAATGAGCATAGCGTGTAGGGCGACCTCGGGGTTCAGGTTGCGGATCTTGATGACGATGTTGGCGAATCGCTCCATGAATTTGCGCAGCGCCTCGTTGTCACCTTGCCTGGCTAAGGCAACCAGGGTGATGTGGTGGGGTCGGCTTGCTGCATACTGTGTCGTAAATCGCCTAACCAAGGCGTTGAAGTTGCTGATCGACCCTGGTGGTAGTTGGGTATACCACGCGAGTGCCAATCCTTTCAGTGAGGTCGGGAAAACCCGGCACAAGATGGCGTCATCGTTGGTGTAGAGGTTCAACTGAGTGACTTAGAGATCTATGTGCTCCCATCATATCGGTCGATGTTCAGGGGTTTCCAGCCAAAGGGGAGGGGTGTCTCTATAATGTCGTCCATGAAGGGGTGGCGGTGAACATTGGCCTGTTGTGACGGAGCTAAGGTATGTGCATTGCTAACCTCCTGATCTGATCTTTGCGTCGATGCACGTGACCGATATGTCACTGATCGGTGAGTGGCTGTCTTCGGCGTTGTTAGTGCTGGAGAGATCGATTGGTGCTCCTCCTCGTGTTGGTTGCTTGGTTGAGGAGGTACATGTGGGGGCTGTTGATGGAGTTGAGCACGAATGCGCTCGTTCTTAGCCTGTAGCGCCGCCAAGTCAGCCTCGTGGCGTGTACGCATATTTTCCAGGTCGGCAGTGTGCCACTGCTACATCTGTTCGACCTGTTCGATCAGTCGTTGTAGGGTTGCTTCTCCTTCCATCCTGGGTGCTTGTTCTGCTTCGTCTTTTGCTCTTCTACTATGGCTTCGGGTGAAAACCATAAGCGTGAACGATAAGAGACTTCTTGATCTGCCCCACAGTGGGCGCCAAATGATCTAACCTAAGATTGGTCAAGAGGGACGATCTGCTGGGCAAGATTGGTGAGCCTTCTTTGCTGGGTACGTCGGCTGCTTCGAGATGGGGGTGGTACCTGCAAAAGAGACTCTGATGCTAAAGTTAGTGTTTGATCATATGAGTGTCTCGTATATATAGTGCACGTACCTTGATGTGGAATTAGGGTTTCCTCTTGGGCAATGATAAGATTGATCTGGGCTTGAGGTTGGCTACGGCCCAATAGGCATTGGGCCTTTACTTTGACTGATATCATGTAGCGCCTATCCGAGGTTGTGCGGCGCTTGGGCGCCGAGCTTGAGCTCGGTGTCCGATGTGGATAGTACAGGGTTACATTTGAGAAAAATGCAAGCCAAATGCACTTCGAATGAAACCTAAATTAATCCTAGATGCTACTTGGTGGCCAAGGATGGAATCTTTGGGTTTGGTTAAGCTACATCTAGGTGCATGATAAGACCATGCAACCTAGGTGCCCTCCACTTGGGCCTAAACCTTGCCAAGTCCAAAAATAAATCCAAGGCTACCAAAAGAGAAGTCTAGGCCTTATTTTCTCACCCTAATAAATTACCCTAGCTATAAAATAAAATCCTATAATCTAAGGCACGCAAGATTGGTGAGCCTTCTTTGCTGGGTACGTCGGCTGCTTCGAGATGGGGGTGGTACCTGCAAAAGAGACTCTGATGCTAAAGTTAGTGTTTGATCATATGAGTGTCTCGTATATATAGTGCACGTACCTTGATGTGGAATTAGGGTTTCCTTAGGTAAACCTCTACACTAATAATGATGCCATCTTGTGTAAGGTTTTTCCGACCTCGCTCAAAAGGGCTGCACTCCACTGGTACACCCAGCTACCTGCCGAGTCAATCGACAGTTTCAACACCCTGATTAGACGGTTCACGGCGCAATATGCCACAAGCCGACCTCACCACACAACTTCAGCCGCTTTGGCCAACCTCAGGCAGAGCGATGATGAACCTCTACGAGCATTCATGGAACGCTTCTCCAGCATCTCGGTGAAGATTCGGAACTTGAATCCCAAGGTCGCCCTACACGCCATGCTCATGGCGCTCAAGCCCGGACCATTCGTCGACAGCCTATGTCACGAGGCTCCCCGCGACATGGACGAGCTCTGCACCCGCGCTGTAGGCTACATTTAGATGGAGGAACACTCCGCTTTCCTTGACCAGGTTCGCAACAAAGGACCAATGAAGCCAGAACAGGGTCACAAGGATAAGGTCAAGGTCAACAATGACAGCCAGTTCAAGAAGCCAGCTAGAGCGAGCAGAGGGGGGAGATATGACTTCTACACTCCCCTGAACACCCCCCGAGTACACATCCGGGAGGAGGCCAGTAATAGCACCCTGCTCACCCTACCACCGCCGGGTCACACCCCCAACAGTGCCGACAAATCCAAGCACTGTCGGTACCACATGAATCACGGTCACAACACGAAGGAGTGCCACACGCTCCGAGACCGTATTGAAGAACTCATCCAAGCAGGCCACCTCGACCAATATGTCCAGCGACAGCAAGGGTCAATGAGGAGGCTATGGTGGACGAGGACGAGGTAGAGGTCGTGGTTCAGGAGCTCGCACGGACCAACCCTCTACCTCTCAACAAAATGCCGGCAGAGCAGTACAAGCCGAGGTAAGCCAAGAGACAGGATCAGCTCCCCTACGGGGAGTAATCAATACAATTGCAGGTGGTTTCACAGGGGGAGGTGCCACCAGCTCAGCCCGGAAGAGACACCTACGCAATATCAATAGCGTTCACTCCACTACCTCGGCTTCGCACCAGAGTTCACCGCCAATCACCTTCACCGACAGCGACTATGCTGGCGTCAGTCCCAACCAGGATGATCCCATGGTCATAGCCGTAGAGGTAGCAAATTGGGAGGTGCACAAGACACTGATAGACCAGGGGAGCTCGGCAGATGTCCTGTATTGGACGACCTTCCTCAGGTTAGACATCCCCCACTCTCTCATCCAACCTCACACAGAGTCCCTAGTTGGTTTTGCAGGAGAGCGAGTACACACTCGGGGATACGTGGACCTACTGACCACCTTCGGAACCTCTCCAGACACAAGGAGAATCATGGTCCGATACCTCCTTGTGGAAGCCAACACCTCCTATAACATCATGATTGGGAGGCCGACGTTGAATCAGCTCGGAGCAGTGGTGTCCACTCCACACCTCACCATGAAGTTCCCAGGTAGCGACGGTAAGATCACCTCTGTCAAAGCGAATCAGAAGACAGCTCGGCAATGCTACACCGAGAGTCTGAAGATATCCTTGTCTGGTGGGCAGAGCAAGAAGGATCCCCCCACCGTGGCTCACATCGCTGTCGCCACCCGCCGAAACGGACCTTGGCATTCGC